GTTTTGTAAAAATCGACGCGTTTCAAAAAGGCGGGGCATAGAGGAGAAACAATAATGTACAGTATGTGGAAAATAATGTGTTTTTTGAACTTTAAACCGCATAAACACATTTCATTACACCAAATACACAAAATAATGTTCTTTTTAGCAGCATCATATGACCCCTTTAACAAGTTGACTGTATTTGATCACAGAATGTCGTCGTCATCAGACTTGCGAAGCTTGGAATTAGTTTGATCAAAATTATCTTACTAATTGATCTTACAAAATGGAATTACTTTTGATCAAATGAATCAGTGAAACTGAGTTATCTTAATATCACCACCACAATGAGAAATGGCATGAAATTCAAACAGCAGTCGACTGATGAAAGACAGCTGTCCATCACTATATTCACGACTGCAGGTCAGACCGAGTGAGCCGAGAAGAGAACTTATCTGACAGTGAAATTAAACGTGCATTAAGAACAGAAAACACAAAGCGCTGTAAGAAACTTTGCTTAGCACACCGTTATATTTGTGTCTCTGGAACGTCTGTGTCAGCGCACGTTCTTATTGTTCTCAGACTGAGGAGTCAACTTTCACCCGAGCATGTGGATATTATTGTTTTTCACAACATTAACATATGAAACAATATAAACATGGTTTAGGCTGACTCGAGTGTTTGTACGTTCTGTACTGTAATTGGCATGGTCTGCTTTATTTTTTTCCATTTGCTCTGCTTGAGCTTGAATGCTTTTGTTCTTTATATGTATATGTTTATTTATTTTTTTTACACACGTTTTCAGCTAAAAGAAACCCTTGAGATGTAACGTTGTTGTAGAACATTGTTGAGTATAATGCCTAACCATAAGCTTGTTCAGAAATGGTGGCAAAAACTTATTATTAAACTTATTATTATTTAAAAAATAATTAACGTCATTTAAATAAACAAATACTAGAATATTCATTTTTTTCACACAACATTCAAATTCAGTACTTTTGAAAAATGCCCATCCCTAATATACACATATATCATACATTCTTCTGGCATTTTATTATAGTCCACTTGTTAGTCAAAGTTTATTTCATTGTACTTTAGTTTTACATAACCATTTTCTACAATACAAACACAAGCTGTCATACTAAATAATTATTAATTAGCATTACTCGGAACTTAATGTACTGAGTGGATAAAACGCCCCTGATACAAAGTAAAACAACCCACCAACAACTTTTGATTTAAGTCCACTTGTTAGTCAAGGTTTATTTTTCACTGTAAATTTAGTTTTACACAATTATTTTCTACCATGTTTCTGGACAATATCAAACCGATTGTTTATGCTACTGTAACTTTAAGATGACTTGAGCTAAAAATCAAAAGTTAATTTAGTTTGTGTGTTATCTTTGAGAATACTGATATTCGGGTGTACCCATTAAATTTAACAAAATAAACTTTAATACATATACACAAAATGCAGTGAAAAAAATGGACAAAAAAAATAATTTAATAAAAAAATAAAATATTTATTTAAAAAATAAAATAAATTACTAGAATGAAAAAAACTCATAAGTTATTTTAATTTTTACATTTTTTATTTTAAAAAATATAGTTTATATATTTGGTTTAATTTCTATCATAAATTTGCCCCACCTCAGCATTCTATTCAGTAGGAAATGTCAACATGAAAGAAATTACGCTTGTCAACTCATTTTTTAAGGGGTTTAACATTTTTATTTGTAAATGGCATCTCTCAGCTAGTCCAGTTGTTGAATATTCAAATACTGAATATTTGAATATGCTGATAACTACCATGACATGTTCAGAATGATCTGTGTTTGCATATTACTTTTCATAAATGGACTAGAAATTGTGGATTGGGGTGGAGTTACTGGTATCGGTATCAGGCCCGATACTGAGCTCCTGTACTCGTACTCGTACTCGTTAAAATGCCCGATACCAAACGCAGATACCACACAGCATGTGATAAGTGCCATATTCAGACAAAGAAACACAGACAACAGAACAACAGACAGCAGAATGGAGTTATTAAAGATTAAGGATGTCTACGAAGTATATGTATGCAATGAATATAAAGTTAAACATTCAGTATTAAGGCCTGTATAGCTGATGTGTGTGAGCTGATAAGCAAAGCACGCTGAGTGGATTGAGTGTGCGGCGGCACAGATGCGCGAGCTTGTCGAGTGAATATACCTTTCTCACAGACATCACTGGAAAGTTTGTAGTTCGGTCGGAAAAACAAGTAAGTAAAACAATGCATAAGTTACTTAAAGGTAGGGAGGGAGAGAGAGTGAGAGTGAGAGAGAGAGAGAGAGAGAGAGAGCGAGAAAGCGTGCACTTCTGTTGTGTGATCTTTGATGTTCACTCACTTAGCACGCATCATTTGGATTAAAACTAAATCGTAAAAA